ACTTCGCACGCCAAACATGTCGAGTTCTTTAAGGGTCAGTGTGTGTGTGTGTGTGGAGGCTTGTATGACCTGAAGGAAAGGGTGGCTCTGAGGTGTATACAACACTAAAGTAGTTTGAAAATACCTGAGACTTGCCATAGTCGTCCTCCACTAATCATGAAACACTACTGTCTCTCCATAGTGTTGGAATGTTTCCTCTTCTCTTAGTTCTTTGGTTTATGTACTAATATAAGCGTTAAAGGCATTCTATAGATTCCTTATCAAGCCTTTCTCCATACAAACTTCTAGACTTGCGGAAGGTCTAGGCCCATGTCTATCGAGCTTCCACGTATTGGGATTTATCTCATCACCACCCAATAACCTAAATCTCCCCATATTGTTCTCCCTTAACGAGGAAGGGTGCGAAACTCCTTACTGGACCACAGTTGGCAGTTCTTCGGACCCCTTGGAATAGCCCAGGGGATGCACAGTACAGTTGTAGATCTATAGTCTACTATGATATTAGTACTGTTCTAATAATGGACTTAATCCTAAAATTGTAGATTTGACATGATGTAACTGCCTAATATATAAGATCTTAGGTGAAAGTCTCATTATTATCTACACCAACTCATCGTACCGTAACAATCATCAATATATGATGAAGAACACACTTAGGCGAGAGATAGAACAACACATTCAAAATGGATAAAAGGTATATAATAACATTCAAGGATAACCACACCTGCAAGGCTGAGCCATGCCATCCGATCAATTCGAATTAATTCAACTCATTGTTCACGCCTTCTCTATCGTTGGGTTTTTCTCCGCGTTAAATATTGAATATCTATTTTCCCAGTTGTCTCGTATTTAGTTTCGGGGATTGTGTGGTTATGGCTCAATGCCACTACACAGTGATGTTGGTGTACATGTTTCGGAATGCATACTAAGCCGTTTCATTCGGGGAATAAGGCTCTGTTGTCCAAACTACTGATGATACTGAGTGTTTAGTATGTTGCATACTTGATTTCCAGACATTTGGTTTGACTTAGGCTGACACATACTGATTATTAAAAACTATGTGGAAATTGAAGTCTGGCATGGCCACTTTTATCTAAAAACTTCCTCTCTTGAGTTTTTGCTTCCAACAGACCTCTTCATAGGCCGTCCTTCTTCTTTTCACCCATGTAAGTCAATCGACTCTGAGCTTATTCGGGGTAAATTCACATCAATTTGTACATCGACTGAGCGGATGATGTCTCAAATATACCTGCTTATACTCCTTCTAGCAGCATTCACTAATGCAATGGCTTCAGATAGCAACCGGTTTGCGACCGAGCAGCATTGCTGACACAACCACACACAACTACTTTTGCTAAGTAGTTCGTAGTAGCAAACATTGTACTCACCTCACCGTACGCCACCTTCAATGGCGTATCGACAACCTTACTTACTTACTTACGCCTGTTACTCCCAATGGAGCATAGGCCGCTGACCAGCATTCTCCAACCCACTCTGTCCTGGGCCTTCTTTTCTAGTTCCATCCAATTCTTGTTCATTTTTCTCATGTCTATCTCCATTTCTCGGCATAATGTGTTCTTTGATCTTCCTCTTTTCCTTTGGCCTTGAGGATTCCATGTGAGGGCTTGTCTTGTGACGCAGTTGGGTGCTTTCCTCAATGTGTGTCCTATCCACTTCCAGTGCTTCTTCCTGATTTCCTCCTCCGCTGGGATCTGCTTTGTTCTCTCCCACAGTACGTTGTTGCTAATAGTGTTCGGCCAATGGATCTGAAGTATTTTGCGTAGACAATTGTTAATAAACACCTGTATTTTCTGGATGATGGCTTTCGTAGTTCTTCATGTTTCTGCCCCATACAGTAGAACTGTCTTGACATTTGTACTGAAAATCCTGATCTTGGCGTTCGTTGACAGTTGCTTTGAGTTCCAGATGTTCCTCAGTTGTAAATATGCTGCTCTTACTTTACCGATCCGTGCCTTCACATCTTCATCAGATCCAACCTGTTCATCAATGATGCTGCCCAAATATGTAAAGGTTTCTACATCTTCCAAATCTTCTCCGTCGATTGTGATTGGATTGGTGCATTCTGTGTTGTATCGGAGAATCCTGCTTTTCCCTTTGTGGATATTGAGACCTACTGCTGCTGAGGCTGCTGCCACACTGTTCGTCTTCTCCTGCATCTGTTGTTGCATTTGGGATAGAAGAGCCAGATCGTCTGCGAAGTCTAGATCATCCAACTGCATCTTAGATGTCCATTGTATCCCGCGCTTCCCTTCAGACGTTGACGTCTTCATGATCCAGTCGATCACCAGGAGAAAGGGAAAGGGTGAGAGTAGGCGACCTTGCCTAACACCGGTCTTCACTTCGAGCGACTTTGTCAACTGTCCTCCATGCACGATTATGCATTGTAATCCATCATTTGAATTCTGTACGATATTGACTATCTTGTGAGGCACGCCGTAGTGTCGAAGAAGTTTCCATAGTGTTGTTCTGTCCACGCTGTCAAATGCCTTTTCGTAGTCAATGAAGTTGATGTAGAGTGATGAATTCCATTCAATTGATTGTTCCACAATGATCCGTAGAGTTGCGATTTGGTCTGTACACGATCTATCCTTACGGAATCCAGCCTGTTGGTCACGAAGTTGGGCGTCTACGCAGTCTTTCATCCTGTTTAACAATACCCTGTTAAATACTTTTCCCGGTATTGAGAGAAGAGTGATGCCCCTGCAGTTATCACACTTGCTGAGATCGCCTTTCTTCGGTATTTTGATCATGAGTCCTTCTTTCCAGTCTGTTGGTACTTGTTCCTCATCCCAAATCTTATTGAAGAGAATGTGGAGTATCCTTGCAGTTGCCGCTTCGTCTGCTTTTAGTGCCTCTGCTGGAATGTTGTCTAGTCCCGCTGCTTTGCCACTCTTCATTTGTCTGATGGCCATGCTCATTTCTTCAATTGTTGGTGGGCCAACATTGTTTGGGAGGTCCGTGGGTGCTGCTTCGATGTTGGGTGGGTTCAGTGGAGCTGGTCGATTCAAGAGTCCTTTGAAGTGTTCTACTCACCTGTTTTGTTGCTCTTCAATGTTGGTGATTACCTTGCCTTCCTTGCTTTTCACTGGTCGTTCGGGTTAATGGTGATTTCCAGAGAGTTTCTTTGTCGTGTCATACAATTGTCTCATGTTTCCTTCTCTTGCAGCCTTTTCCGCCGTCGTTGCTAAATCTTCCACATATTTACGTTTGTCGGTTTTGATGCTCCTCTTCACTTGTTTGTTTATTTCCGTGTATTCAGCTTGTGCCTTGGCTTTTTCTGCTCTTGTTCGGCTGGTATTGATCGTTGCCTTCTTGTTTCTTCTTTCTTGAATCTTATCCAGTGTGTCAACAGTGATCCATTCCTTGTGGTGGTGCTTCTTGTGACCCAGGACCTCATGACATGTTGAAGTGATTGCCTCTTTGATCCCCTTCCAGTTGCTGTCCACAGTAGTTCCTTCTCCATTGAGTAGATCATGAAAGGTCTGGAACTTGTTGCTGAGGACTATCTTGAATTTGTTGAGTTTGTTAGTATCCTGGAGAAAGGCCGTATTGAACTTTTGTGATATTGTCCGCCCCGTTGTCCAGTGCTTGTTGAGTTTCAATTTCATCTTGGCGACCAGTAAGTGATGATCTGATGCTATATCAGCTCCTCTCTTGGTTCTCACGTCCTCTATAGTCCTCCTGAACGTTTTGTTGATGCAAATATGGTCGATTTGGTTTTGTGTAGAGTGATCCGGTGAAGTCCATGTGGTTTTATGTATGCGTTTATGTGGGAATATGGTGCCGCCTATGACCAGCTTATTGAAGGCGCATAGATTTGCAAATCTCTCACCGTTTTCGTTTCTTTCTCCCAGTCCGTGTCGTCCCATGATGTCTTCATATCCAGTGTTGTCCGTTCCAACCTTGGCGTTGAAATCTCCCATCAGAATGGTCAGGTCCTTTGTTGGGCACTTCTCGACGATTGACTGCAGCCTATTGTAGAATTCATCTTTAGCGTCTTCATTGTAGTCGTTGGTAGGCGCATAGCATTGGATGATGTTCATTGAAATACCCTCTTTCTTTGTTTTGAAGGAGGCTTTGATGATCTTTGATCCATGAGATTCCCATCCTATAAGCGCATTTTGTGCTTGTTTGGACAGCCCCCGGAGGGACTCCAGGAGGAGTTTATCGACAACCTGGGCATTGTAAATATCTTTTTTCGCATTGTCCATTCATCAGTCAGAAGTTTTCAAAAGGAAACAAAACAAAAACACTACCCGTAGACGAAAGAAACTGATGACTGGGAAAAAGTGCGAAATTGCAGATTGTTCGACCTAGAAAAGTGCAAACAAATACAAAAGAACCAATAAACTCAAAAGTTCCGATGATAAATTACTTTTGAGAAAAACGACACTCTTGACGAATTTTTTAATTTAAATAAATACAATTAAAGTGGAAACAGTAGTTTTGATCCGGAAGTTTCAATCAAAACAATAGAATTAACTAGAGCGCGTTGAAACCTTTTAAACAACTTTAAAGACACGAGATTTACCTAAAAGTTACTATGTTTAGCTTTTCCGGTCTATCACCAATTGATTCATTATAGCACAAGGTAGCTTCAGGAAGGCAGGGCAACACGGCCGGACATATGGCATTAAAAAGCTATCATATAATGTAATTCCATGGGAAAAATTAATAACCATATCAAATACAACCCTATGAGATGTCTTATCTAACCACTAAATAGATAGGAAGATGTATGACATGACTGGTCGTTTACATATGACATGCGGTATATCCCCTCTCCAAACACTCATACATCACGATGCACAGACCTACAAATAATGATCAAACTCACTAGATTCAATACAGACAGGTGGATGAAGCACCCTACTGAACACCTGTAATTGTACTACAACAACAAGAAGTGAGTACAAAACAGTAATTTAGTTTATATTAGCTCGACATAAGTACAAAGGATATTGTTTATTGAATGTTTTAAGGACTGTATGATGATCCAAAAAGTACGGTGTTTTCGCGCTCTCATTTGTTTTGTGGTTTCTAATTTCTTCCTCTGTACTGTTATTGCGTAACACTTCATCCATTACTCTCACAAGACAACTAAAAAAAGATTTGTGATTTTGGTTGACTCTTGTCACAGGTTTCTACCGTACTTCTCAAAATATGTTTCTTATTCATATTGTACATATGCGGTGGTTGAATTCGATTAGCTCTCATTTCCGATTTTCAGGTCGTATTGATCCTACCTCGATGTTGTTTCTAATCGCTGTTGGTCGCTATCGTTTTTAGATCTAAGTGGAATCTATGTATTTACTGAGTCGGCTCAGTTTTTAGTTTGTTCCTTTCTCTTCCAGATTTTATCACACTTTCCCTTAACACAAAGCGTAACTTCAGACTAGACGTTAAACATGACATGTTTTAGGTTTTCAGGTAATTTACATAAATCCCCTCAGGCCCGAGCACTCAATTTTGGGGAAGCCGCTATAGTGAACTTTGGGGAATTAGCACAAAAACCCCAGAATTCCCCTTTAATCTTGATCAATGTCATTTGACTTTGGGGATTTCCCCAAACTTGGGAGCTTGGGGGAGTACTTCTAAAGCAATACTATTGTATAGCTATAACTATCTGATCGGGTTGGGTATTACATATGTTTGCATTGTCGTAGCCTTGGCTTCTCACTAGATGCTAGCATATAGCCGTGCAAGTATACTGTTTGTGATTCTGCGCTATTGTCTGTTGGACAAGCATATAACCCAAGTAACAACCAAATACGAAATCAGATGGGAAAATGCCTTTATTTGTTTCAAATATTGCTCACATTTTTGTCTGAATATGATAGCATTTCTGAAAAGACAGTCTGCCTTACCATCATATCCGGGCTTTATTCTAATCTTTCTCCAATAAGCTGTACACATCGTATAATATATACTATAACTGGCACGTCTGAACTTGAAACGTTTGTACGTGTGATAATGGGTAAGCATATCAAGTAACAATTTGTGGACTTGGTGATTATCTGCAAAGAATAACGTGTTTTGCAGTCATATATGGATATTCATAAGTGTGGTATGTTTACATATGTGTTAATTTGAACACTCAATCAGTAAGCAATACCACGGATTTCGATACTATTTAACCTGTATCAGGTGACTAACTCATGTAGTCTCAATAAACATGCTCAAATCCAGAAAAACGCATGAACTTCGTATCTGGATTTCATAGGCTAAATCCACGTTCTACATACTGAAAACTTCGGTATTCGTTTAAAGTTAAAGGTATTACTCGTCTGCTGTTTGGCAATACATGCCATAGTTATTTTGTTGAATGAATCACTTGTGTTTTCTGTTTTAGATTTTGCAGAAAATCCGTTTGTTTGAAAATGGTGGCTTTATAGAGTTTCAAATTATGCCAGGGTGGATTTTTGAAGCTCAGTTTTAAATTCCGTGTGGTGATCCGTAATTTACGTCTGATCTTCATCAGATCTTTTATGTGATTCATACATGAAGGAAGATAAGTTATTTTGCATCTGTGGACTAATCGTCGGGATCGTATTGCTATTTTATGTATTGTCGCCGTATAGTCCGACATGTTTACTAAGAAGCTGTATCCATAATCAGAATGACCGTACAGGTTTTCTGTATGCTGTTCCAACTACAAAAACAACTAAGCATTTGATGACATATACGAGAGATAATTCAAGTAATGTGTCTGTGCTCGTCTTCATCCATATTCAGAAAACTGCCGGTACACTTCTAGAACGTCGTTTAGTTAAAGATGGTTTAGTGGGCAAAACATGTTACTGTTTTTTCAGAAGACGCTGTAATTGTAAAACGCCAAGTGGTGATACTTGGCTTGTCAGCAGATATTCTACAGGCTGGGTATGTGGACTTCATGCTGACTTAACTGAATTAACGGAATGTATTGACAGCAAGCTAAACAAAGTGGACCATCATATTATTAAAAGAAGGTAAGAGTTGTGCCAATTTTACTCTTATTTATTTATTTATTTATTATTACTACTCAATGTTCAATATTTCTTGCTATGTTTTATAATAACTTGAAAAATATAGCCTCTAAAGTATTTTAAGTGGGTCTAGCTTATGTCCTTTAGTGTAAATTAGATGCTCTAACGATTTATTAGATAAATCATTAATCTTATCATCACGTTTGTACATTCTACTCATTATCCACCAATTCTAAAATTGTTCACATTATGCTCTAGCCGGAAAGTTCGAATTTTTTCGTAATTAGCTGATTATTTGCAGCAATATTAAAAATCGAAATGACGTAGGGGCTATGGAATACACAAAAGTTTAGGCTAGGTATTACTTACTGAAAAATTGATTTATGCCCAATCACCAGGACATGAAAAAAAGACAGCCGCTTCAAATGAGTCTTAAAGAGTCGGAAGATGTGACATATATCACGGTAGCACTAACCAGGGCTTTAGAAACTGTTTGGGATGTAAAATTATAGACCGAATATGTGTGTATTGGGAAAAGAACGCTGACTAAATCATTTTAATTCGCAATTGGGCATCTTATTCAACTATGTTCGCCCGATGTAGGAATGTTTACTCAAGTCTCAGATGAATTGCATTTCAACGTGGGAAATAATTAAAAGCCTGGAGAGTCAGTGTCACAAGTTATTGTCATCGAATCATATACGACACTCGTAATTCGTTCTCTTCATTATGTTGATGAACTGTCAATTTATCTAGCCAGATATCAAAGACATCTCATAGACTGTATTTTTATAAATAGTCGATTTTTATTAGGCTTAAAACTCGCTCAGGAGAAAACCGAATCCCATGATCTGTGTATAATGAAACTATTATGGATGCTAGAAAATTCATAGATTAAGTAGTGCAAGCTGATAATTATCGTACTTGACCTAACCACTCTGTTATGAATTGACCTGTGAGAAAAGGACGAGTATGTGATGTTTGACTGGAGGTTATGTAGAATCCCAGTTATATCAGTTTGGAAGTAACAGATACTACATTATAACAACCATTTTTTTAAAATAACAGGCGTATTTTCTGTTTTTACTGTCTATTTCCTAAAGTTCTATTAACTGAAAATTGCATTCACTAGAATTGTTTATCTCTGTTTTCAGGTACATATATTTTACTTTGTTACGTGATCCTGTCGATCGTTTTATTAGTGAATGGCAACATATACGTCGCGGTGCTACATGGCATACAGCTACTCTTCGATGTAATAAACAATACCCACCACTTGAACACTATAAACCATGTTATTTTAATGAAGAAATTGTCGAAAATATCCCGTCTAATGTATCCATTAAATCTGTTATAGATTGTCCTTACAATTTAGCAAGTAATCGTCAAACAAGAATGTTAGCAAACCTTTCTAGTCTAGGATGTTATAAACATTTAACGAAATGGTCTCAACCTCTCAATGTAACAGCATTAATCCATATTCCACGAGTTTCATTAGCTCTTTTAAACAGTGCTAAACATAATCTTGTCAGTATTATCAGTTGTTATGGTTTAAGTGAATACTTAATTTATTCACAATACATATTACAAAAATGTTTACATATTACTTTTAAACGTTCATTTATTGAATTTAATAAAATATCTTTTATGAAACAAAGATTATTGTTTACACATGCTACAATAATCCGTTCCAATTTAAATCAGTCTACTTTGCGTCAAATACAAAATGTAAATAGGCTAGATATTTTCCTATACAATTTTGCCAAACAATTATTTGTGTATCGATTAGTAAATTATTTATTATTTGATTCAAATATACCGCTGCATTTCAGACGACCTTTACACACTATTTGGCACAATAGACCTAGGTCTAAATCATATATAGGTCTAAGTTATTTACTGTTTTCCAATCCTGTCATCAATTATCATGATGCTAATATCAGTAGTAATGCATTTTCATATCGTTTCAATTTATTTCTTACTAATTTGTTCATTCGTAAAGGTAGCATTCCAGTATCTGAGTCTATTTTAACCAGTGAAAATAAGAAATGGAGTGATCGACTTTCTTACGATTTTAAAATCTAGTTTGTAAATTACTTACGATTTGTTCATCGACCATCTCCCTCTTCGCTCACTTTTTGTATTTCTATTTTTCCAAACAGTTTTGGATTGTAAAATGATGTTTGTTTTACCAAATATTATTTAAAGTATTTTCTCACAAATTGTTCTAATGGGAAGAGTAAAGAAAGTGACAAACTATGAAAAGCATTTGTGGGGGTGGCATTAGTATGCTTAATTTCTATGCGTTATTATTAACAGTTATTTCATATGATTTCCATTTTTTCATAATTGCAAGTTTTCATTTTATTTAGCATATCTTCTTTTTTTCTCAAATAATTGTAACCTAATCATGAGCTAAATATCCTAATTTTGTACCCGAAATGTATTATTTTAGTTATTGTATGTTGTCGTTCAGTTGTTCATATCTCTAGATATGTACATTTATGGGTTAGCGATTTATTTAGATACAGACGTTTGGACTAATATCTTCTTGTCGTATTTTCTCGTTGGATGTTGGGGAAAAGGAAGTATCTGAACATGTGGTTAGTGTTCTTATAACAGATTCTTTAGTCAAACAGTTAAAGTGGACAGTTCACAGGATCAAATCAATAGTAGTCGGACTCACAATTTGTTGTCACAGGGTTATTTTAAGTAGCTTAATGTATCAACAGCATCACTAAGTTGTGAGTGAGTTTTCTCGCGTTTCTAACATCAGGACCAGTAGATATCAGAGGTCATCACACAAAGATTTCTAAGACTGTGATTATTTTAAATTCACTTCCATCGGGGTGAGACAATTTTTTAAGTATATGAGTCAACTGTTCTAACGAAGTGTGTCTACTGGGATAATAACTTTCTTGATTTCGATTTATACTTGAATTAAGTGAAAAGTCGGTCTCATTCCCTCAAGGGGATTCCTGGACTGTGACAAAATATCTGTCCTATACCCACTTTCACTTTTAATGACATGCTTGGAAATCCTCAGAAGTGGGAAAATAGAAAACAAATCCACTTGCGCCATTACGAACGAATCTGAGCAATGTCTTGCGAACCTTCCAACCATTGGTTACTATAATCTCATGGGGCCCAACAAAGTGGTCTGCGCCAACCTGTGTGACTCGATCCAACAGTCAGTGACTCCATGGATTAATATCATGTCTTGGTTTGCCCGTAAACAGCTTTTTTCCTACTTACTCCAACACCGGCGGTCACCGCGAGTCTGAGTCGCCATACGTAATATATGTCCTAACATTGTGTCGATAAACACCTCATCAATCGATTTGTCATCTTTATCCAATGCTCTACGTATAGTACTTCGAACTCCGTGGTCCCAAAATACACGACATTTTTGATCGAGTTATAGTAACCTGCGCATATCATCTATGTTAAAAGCCACGTTTCAAAGTCGTAAAGTAGGACGGAATAAACTGTTGCTCAGTATACACATCCTCTAGTTGGCAGATGAATATCTCGCAAGCTGACAAGAGCCAGTCAAACTTACTAAATCCATACCGAGATTTCGTTGGATATCAACTCATCGGAACTGATGAAACTTCTCAAATAAATGAAGGCACCGACAAGCTCAACTACTTCACTTTTTATTATTAGTTCATGCATTGATGTAGACTAAACTTAAGGTGACTTCTTGAATTTGGAGAGAGAAACACCGAAAGCATGCTGACATTGCTGTTTAAAGCAATCAGAAGACGTCTTCTTCAAATAGGACTATATCATTTGCTTCAACAAATGAATCTCCAAGTAGATAATTGTGGATGTCTATAATAATGAGTATTTACTGTTGTATTGTATTTGAATTCAACCAGTCAAATTTAATTGTTCAAAAATGCTTTCATAGAAACTACTCAACTTCTATCTGGATGATATTTCGTGAAAAATTTAAAAAAAAAGAAACTCCAATTAAAATATATATTTATTGTTGTGTACAGTTTCAAATGGTGCTAATTCAACTCGATTTTTTTTTTCATATAGTTTATACAACAAAGAAAAAGTACCCAAATAATTATTGATATCAATAACCATACAGTTAAAATAATTGTACCAATAACGATGTTATTTCCTTCATTAATCACCATCATCATCATATTAAAAGTTGAATTTCTCCCATGACAACAATCATATGTACCATTATTAGTTTTAAGAAGAATTCCAAATTTCAAATCACAATTATTTGTAATATAAGGTAAGTTTGTTTTTTCTATGTTGATTGTATAATTATGATTGTTATTACTTGATGATAACCAAGATATATTGGAATTCATTAAATTTGTACATTTTAATTGTTTCATTTTATTTGGATCATATTTCACTATTAAATTTTGTTGATATTCATTAAACAATTGATGATTTTGTATTGATAAATGAAAAGAATTCTGTTGAATAGTTTTAATGAGAAAAGTTTTTGTTTTATTCATTTGATATATTTGTTTATTCAGATTGATCCATTTGATGATTGGATCAATTTGATCGCATATCATTTCATCATGAATTTCTATATGTCTACTAGTAAGTAAAAATTTATCTATTATTGGTATCCATATATGCTGTAATAATTCATATTCACATGGTATATGAATAAAATGATCATCAATGTATAATTTAAAGCCTAAACGTTTAGCTTTATTCATAGCTAATTGTTTGGAACCATTCAATTTTGAATCATATAATCGTGTAAAGTATTCAAATGATAATCTTAATATTTTATTAATTTCCATCATTTCATAATCATTACTTTTGTTGTTGGTGGTGGTGGTGATGGTGTTGTTGTCATGATTCTTGATAGTTTCTTTTAATTCTGATTCAAATCGTGGTATTTTCAAATAACATCGTCTATATTGATTGAATTTAATTTTGCCACAATGTTTTCTAACTTCATTTTCTTCATCTATTTTAAATATAATAGTCATAAAACGTAAATGATAATTAGCTAATTCAGTAATATTGTTTAATGTAATATTCATTTGATTATGTAATATATGTATTTGTTGTATATTTGATATGTTGATTAGTTTAGAATTTTGTTTCAATGAACCAATTCTATATAAATGATACCAAATAAAATTAGCTGGATGCATTTTATCTTTTATATATTGACAAACATATGTTCCTAAATATTTATTTGCATTAATATTTTGTCCAATTAATTGTGAATTAGATTTACTAATACATAGATCATTGAATGGATCTTGTTTAATTCTTTCTAATAATTTATTATTAAGCATAGTATCACTTTCATATAATGTTTTATTAGATCTAATAAATATAATATACTTTTTATAATGTGGTATATAATTCCATTCAAATAGATCTAATCTTTCATCTGGACATATTGGACAAAATAAATGAAATGTAATATTGATTTCATTTGGATTAAATAATAAAAATTGATGTCGTCTACCAGCTTTTTCTATACGTTCAATATTACATGGTTTATTAGTTTTTATATTGGGTATATCAAAATTGCATATTTTTAGTTTATCATCAGTAGTATATAACGACAATAATAATAATAATTGTAGAATAATTAAAGAATTCATTATTGTATAATTAACTACATGTTGTTTTATGAATGTAACCATCGGCAATTCCTCGTTTTCACAAGTTTACACTACTGATATGTACTTACATCAGTTAATTATGTCAAACATTTATAGTATGGTAAAATTTAAAATTGTTTAAAATCTATATGTTTATGCCTTAAGCATAATAGTGATAAACCTATAAAATCTAATCATTTATCATATTTTATATACTAGGTGTGGGCTGGGCTGTGATATTGCCCGGGTGCCCAAACCGAATTAGTGAACTTGATGGCTAGATGTGAATATTTATTATTATACTGGACTGAATAAGAATCGAGTAAATGTAATAGGATTGAATAGATGTCTTTAAAAAAACGTCCGAAATAAATACAATGTGTATGGCAATATTATACAAAATCAAATATTACCCCTGATGGAGAAGCCATAAGTCACTCACCAGGATTCTCCATCTAACTTTCAGTTGCATGTGTTGATTTCAATTCATGTGACTGTAACTTCCTTTCATCACTAGGTCACCAAAATGTAGTAGGTTTTCCTACTGGTTTGGATGTTCATTTACACTTTGTTTTCATTAATGATGTGGGTATATATGTGGTTCGTAAACGTGCACCATTGTCTAGCTCGGACCACTGTATAATTCATGTTCTACCTAAAGTATATGGAAAGCATGGAAAGAGTACATTCTTACATCAAATCAAGAAAGTCAAATATATGAATTGCTCAGAAGAAAATACCCGAAATCTGAAAAACATGTTTCGTACAACTAAAATGATGTGGTTAAAATAAGAGTGATATAACAAGATAAGGATGATGTTATTAAGTTAAAGAAAGATTCATCATTGTTTCTTTTTGAATTCAAAGATCCAGTTTGAAACATTTAATTTTTATGGTTTGAGTAAATTTAAGGAGGAAAGGGTATGGTTATAGATTGATCACCTTGAAATACTTCATCATCATCTCAACCTGATGTCCTATGATAAAGAGGTGGTTTGAAACCTCAGTACTAAGTATTTCATTGCTTTAACCTAATACTTGATACTTTTCGGAATAATATATACTTGAAGTCAAATACAGTCCGTTCCTTCTTTCTTCTCTACTTATACGTCAATTTTGTCGTTCTTTGCCATTTAACTGTTCATCAATTTGTATATATTACTTTTCAATTATTTTCTAAAAAATTATTGTCACAACATTCTCAAGAAGATTTTACATTGTTATTAAATGAGGATTTTTTATTTGTCTTGTACACTTTCCTACATTTTACTACCTGAGGAAATATGAATTTATATTCAAGCGAAATTTTAAATATAGTTTGAAACGTATGAGAATATTGAATGACGAGTTTGGAACTTGATAACTTTCAACTGGTTTTCCGTCATGCAACCCAACTTCTTTAATTAATAATGTACTCGACATTGGTCTGTAACGTTTATGTGACGGCCCGTGGTGTTAGTCAGTTGATCAAATAGAAGTAGGTAAATCAGGGTGTGAACTTGACATTTATTGGTTGAATGTTGAACATTTGTAGTATCGGTTGCTATGTTATACCCACATAGTTTATTCTGGCTTCCGGACAAGCCAATTTATTCATTCTTCTTGAGTCATGTTTTCATCATGTTAGTGATTCGCTTATTAATCGTGACTTTTTATATGAACATTTATGTATTCACATGTTATCCTATTGATCACATGTCCTTAAGTTATTTTTGTTCGACTATAAATATTGATTCAGATATGGCTAAATTGAGTTTGCTCACACACCTACTCCACTATGCGTCATTTCGCTTCTCTATCTCTCTTTTCTTCGCTTCGTTTCTTAGATCGTTTGTCTCGACCAACGATTGTATAAAATACACGTACTCGAAATCCATTCTCGTATTTGACTGATTTAATCCCGTTGTTCACCAGCGATTTAAGTAGACGAT